CCGCCCATCGCACTGCCTCACTCGTGGATCGGCGAGGGTGAGGCTCGCATTCCACCGCCGCTTCACCCCCGCGGGGCCCTCGCCGCCCTTGCGCCGCCGGCCGCCGAGGACACGAGGCCCGCTCCGCGGGAAACCAGGATGTACCGATACCGCTGTGCCCGGGACCTCTCCCGGGGCGCGTTCTGACCAGGATTCCGAGGCGAATCCGGCGGTGGCGACGAGGGCCTCCCAGGAGGTCCAAAAAAAGAAAGAAACGGGGGATGGGTAGAGGTAGTAGGTACCGCTTCCTCCTCTGACTGACCCAACTCCTTGGATCCTCGAAGGCGAGGGCAGCTCTGGAATTCGAGCAGGGGATCGACTACAGAATTGATTTACCCCAAACTTGACTTTCTCGTCGAGTCATTCGTAGACTGCTCGTAGACCTACGAACATTCGACGAATTTCTCATAGACTCGACGAACAAATCAATTTTGGGGAAATCAATTATGTAGTCGAGCCCCTACTCGAGGAATGCCTCAGGTGCTTCGCAGCTCCTGTGGCAACCTCCTCGCCCTTCGCGCGGTAGCGCGCGCGAGGCTCGGCCGCCGTGGCCGTCACACATCTGCCCGTCCGCCGCCGCCCCCGTCCGCACGTCCATCGGGCGGCGACGGCATCGGCAGCACTGGAGGAGCGAGGAGGTGGGCGGAGCAAGGAGCGAGGAGCGAGGAGCGAGGAGGAGGAGGAGGAGGAGGAGGAGCGAGGAGCAAGGAGCGAGGAGCGAGGAGGAGGAGGAGGAGGAGGAGGAGGAGGAGGAGCGAGGAGGAGGAGGAGCGAGGAGCGAGGGGAGGAGGAGGAGGAGGAGGAGGAGAGGAGGAGGAGGAGGAGGAGGTAGGAGGAGGAGGAGGAGGAGGAGGAGGAGGAGAGGAGGAGGAGAAGGAGCGAGGAGCGGGAGGGAGGAGGAGGAGGAGGAGCGAGGAGGGAGGAGGAGGAGGAGGAAGAGGAGGAGGAGGAGGAGGAGGAGGAGGAGGAGGAGGAGGAGGGGAGGAGGAGGAGGAGGAGGAGGAGGAGGAGAGGAGAAGCGAGGAGGAGCGAGGAGGAGGAGGAGGAGCGAGGAGCTTGCCCAGCAGCTCCTGGGGGGGGGGGGGGGGGGCGACGGCCGGAGAGGCACCCGGCGGACAGGGGCGCCGGCCGCCGCGGGGGATACGCGAGCACGTCCAGCTGCAGCCCCGCGGCCGTGGCCGAAGCCTCGGCGGGCCCGCCCCCTATGCAGGAGTCGGGGGCGTCGAAGGGGCAGGGCCGCCCAAGAGCAGAAGAAGAAGAGAAAACGACACACGCAGAGGAAAGGAAACTATGCACATGCACCGATTCTGGCCAGGCCCAGCCTGAGCCCAGGATCGGTGCACACGCCCTCCTGCCTTTGGCCAGGAAGACACATGCACAGGAGCAGTCGGGTGTTGCTGGAGGTGCCCCTGGCCCAAGGTGCCCCCAGGATTCTCGGGGTGGCCCAGGGGGCCTCCAGAGCACGCCTCACGAGGTGTTGCTGGAAGTGCCCCTGGCCCAAGGTGCCCCCAGGATTCTCAGGGTGGCCCAGGAGGCCTCCAGAGCACGCCTCACGAGGCCCCAGAGGGCCCGGGGGCTCCAAAGCTGAGCGGAGAGCAAGGGACACCTTGGGCCAGGGGCACTTCGAGCAACACCTGGAGTAGAAGAAGAGAAAACGACATGCGGTCGAGATCTGTAGGAAGGACGCGCGATCCTTGGACGCCGAAGGTGGCACTTCCGGGCGGCGAGCTGCCAGCGCCGGGAAGGGCTGCGGCGAGGGCGCAAAGGTGCCCTGAGGACAGCCGTGCGTCCTTGCTGGCAGTGTTGACTGGAAGCACAAACTTTTGGCGCCAGTTGGGGTGTATCCCAGGCTTTCCCTCCTTTTTTTGAGCGGTCTCACTTTTCGACGAAAAGTCGGGGGGGGTGGGGGGGGTGGGGGGGGGAAATCGCCTGCGAGCCAGTACGCCAGATCAGGCCAGAGTAGAAGAAGAAGAAGGAGAAGAAGAAACGCCACAAACATGGATTTCTGGCGCTCCGCGCGGACTTCTTGGACCTGCGCTGGGCCGCCCTCCCTGGCGCGCGGGGGGGGCCAAGAGCTTACAGGGCTGTTTTTAATACATGGGATTTGTTTTTTTTTAAGACTTTTAATACATTATTAATTTATGAATGAATGTATGCATAAATTCATCGTTGTTTCTAATACTAAGTCCCTGCATTTGTTATACATGATCCGCACGCGGAGCATGTATTAAAAACGGCACTGTACATTCATGGCGTTTTTCTTCAAGCCTGGGATTAGGGCGGAGGGAAGAAGCAGAGGTGCGAGGAACTCGCTGGGACGATCTGGCCGCTGCCCCCCAAGGGGCTGTTTTTCCCCCGGGGGCACCGCGGCCGGAAGCCCGGGGAAGGGACAGCGCAAGAAACCGGACGAGCAACCAAAGAATCCAGCGATGTGGCTCTATCAATCCGCGCGGGTCGGGAGGGGCGATGAAGGGCGGGGGGGCACGTGCACCTTTCGTGCTCCCCCCTGTTGTGCCCCGGGGGGGGCCCCGGGGCCTTTCAGGGCCTCCTTAGGGCACAAAAGACGAGGAGGAGGAGGAGGAGGAAGAGCGCAGAGAAAGGAGGAGTAGTAGGAGGAAGAGGAGGAGGAGGAGTGCAGAGGAACGAGGACGAGCAGCAGCAGCAGCAGCAGGAGGAGAAGGAGGAGGTCCGTAGCCAGATTGACTCAAGCTGCACCTGTAGAGAGTGACAGCAAACGCAGGCAACCAGAACCTGATCGAGCCACGCTACCCCGACCTCAGAGCAGTGTGCGCTGCCGCGGTGTGCGATCCCACCTGAGGGCCAAAGCAGGCCCGCCATGGCTGTGCGAAAGGCTGCCGTGGAAGCTCGTGTACAGTCGGGGCGTTGACCCAAGGAACGACAAATAAGGAACGAGGCCCCTTTCTCCCATGGGTTAAACTCCGATGTTCCATGGAAAACAGGAAAACCCAAGGAGCACTGTAAAGCAACTAAGGAACACGGAGCCCCTCCCCAACAAAAAGGGTTCCTTCTTCAGGGCCCCGACTGTAGTCGCTGGGGTCACCTAAGGGCTTCGCCTGTGCGGCTGTGTTTCTGGACTGCACATTGGGGACGCGCGAAGCTGGCCCCTCTGGGGCATCCGGGGAGCCTGCGGGGTGCGCTTCGGACATATCGGAGGGACGCTCGGAAAATCAGTGGGGCTTCCCACGGGTCCATTGCGGTGGGCCTGCCTTGCGAGGCAGACAGCTGTCAGGACAGAGCTGAGAAGCCACAAGACGCACAAGATGGTTTCCAAGACGACCCTGACGCGCCCAAAGAGGGCCCCAAGATGGCCCAGACGGGATCCCAAGACGGCTTCCGACGGGCTCAGACGGGCCAGGAACGCTCCAAGACGGCCACAGAGGCCCCCAAGAAACCCCCAAAAGCCCCCAAGAGGCCCAAGGAGGCCCCCTAGAGGTCTCCAAGAGGCCCTCAGGAAGCTCCCAGGAGGCCCCAAGAATGACCAACGACGCTCCCAAGAGGTCTCCGCATCCTTCTACTCATCCGCATGTTCCCTTCCTTTCCTCATCACGGGTGGGGGAACGCATGGTCCAATAGCGCGGCCAAACTTTGCCCAAATGATTGGCCACATAGGCATATCCTAAAACGCAGGGGGCAGCGGTGATTCACCGTAGGCGTCTTCGATCCGCTGCCTTTTCTGCAGCCAGCAGGAGCCAGGAAGGGCCCCTTTAGGCAATTCTCTTCACCACCCATTCAGGTCACCACCCATTCGGCGACACGTAAGAGTGACCCTAGGCAAGAGTGACCTTTGGTGCGCGCCTTTCGGGGGCCGCGGGGAGGCCAAACCCGGAGCGCGCAAGCTGCTGCTGCCGTATCTCATTCGTAGATTGGGGATCCCGGCGAGAGGTCGCTCCAGTGAAAGGTCACCCCAGCGAGAGCTCACTCCAGCGAAAGGCCACCCCAGCGAGAGGCCACTCCTGCGCCTTGCGCACAGCCGACCCACTGCCACCCGCCCGATCCACGCTGCTCGCGCGCCGTCCGGCGCGGAGGCCGATCTGCTCGCTCGCTCGCGTCTCCCTCGCCGAGTGCCTCTGCCTCTCGGCCGCGAGGGGGGTCCTGCCGAGCGGCCCCCCCTCAGGAGCTTTGTGGGCCCTGGAAACGGCAGGGCCGTTTCTTTTTTACCGTTTCCAAAAAAATGTCCCTTGAAAATGGAAACGGCAAAAAAACGGCGACTGGAAACGGCAAAAAAAAAAAACGGCCCCAGGATTGGAACTGGAGCCGAAACCGGTAAAAAAACGGCGACGGAGCCGGTAAAAAAACGGCGTCGGAACCGGCAAAAAAGCGGCAGAACGGAACCGGTAAAAAAAACGGCCCTGTCGTTTCCAGGGCCCACTAAGGCCGCGGCCCACCTCTCGCGGCACCTCTCGCGGCACGGTGGGGGCTGCCGCCGCTCCCGCCGAGGCGCCCCAGGACGAGGCGCCAGGGGAGGACAGCAGCGCAGGGCGGGCGGCCGTCGTCGTCGCTCGCTCGGGGTCGTCGCGCGCGCGCCTCTCGCTCTGCTCGCCTCTCTCGCTCCCTCGCCTTTCCTTGCCTGCTCTCCTCTCCGCTCTCGCTGCCTCGCCTCTCCTTGCCTGCCCTCCTCTCCTCTCTCGCTCCCTCGCCTGTCTTCTTCGCCTGCTTTCTTGCCGCCTCTCTCTCTCTCTCTCTCTCTCTCTCTCGGTGCAGCAGAGGGCGGGCCGGAGGCCAAGCCGCCCCCCATCCCCCAGGGGCCGGGGGGGGCCAGGAGCGGACGCGGCGAGCTGCTCCGCCGAGGGCCAATGGCCGAGCGAGGCGGCGAGGCCCTTGGGCCAGCCCAGGTAGAGGGCCAGCCCAGGCCCGCGGCCGCTCAGGGACCAGGAGAGCACCAGCTCTGCCCGCGCGGGCAGCCCCGCAGCCGGACCACCACCCCCCAGAGCCCCAGAGGCCGGCCGAGCCCGCGACGTTGTTGGCGAGCCACGACGTCCACTCCAGGGTCTCGGGGGCCGCCTGGAGCCGCGGCTCGGGGGGGAGGGGGAGGGGGAGGACAAGGAGGGGGAGGAGGAAGAGGAGAAGGAAGAGTACGAGGAGGAGGAGGAGGAGGAGGACGACGACGACGACGAGGCGGAGGAGAAGGAGGAGGAGGAGGAGGAAGAAGAGGACGAAAAGGAGGAGGAGGAGGAGGAGGAGGAGGAGAAGGAGGAAAGGGAGAAGGAGGAGTGGAGGGAGAGGAGGAGGGGAAGGGGAGGAGGAGAACGAGAAGGAGGAGGAGGAGGAGGAGGAGGAGGAGGAGAGGAGGAGGAGGAGCGGGGGAGGAGGAGGAGAGGAGTAGGAGGAGGGAGGCGGAGGAGGAGGAGGAGGGAGGAGGAGGAGGAGGAGGAGGAGGAGGAGGAGGAGGAAGAGGAGGAGGGGGAGGAGGAGGAGGAGGAGGAGGAGGAGGAGGAGGAGGAGGAGGAGGAGGAGAGGAGGAGGAGGAGGAGGGGAGGAGGGGAGGAGGAGGAGGAAGGAGGAGGAAGAGGAGGAGGAGGAGGAGGAGGAGGAGTGTGGAGGAGCAGGCGTAGGAGGAGGACGACGACGAGGAGGAGGAGAAAGAGAACAATGAGGAGAAGGAGAAGGAGGGGGAGGAAGGAGAGGGGACGCGGAGGATAGAGGACAGAGGAGGGCAGATGGAGAAGGGAGGACGGGAGGGCGGATGGCGGAGGAGGGAGGATGAGGAGGAAGCCACCCCCTGGCGCAACAGGGCAGGGCTGCTGGAGGTGCGCGCGCGGAGGCAAGAGAGGATAAGTACGGAGAGATCGTGCCCCCCATCTCTCTCTCTCTCTCTCTCTCTCTCCGGCTCTCGCCCCGCCCCTTGCCGCGCCCCCCAGATCGGGAGACGCTCGGCAGAGGACAGAGCAGGGCAGGCGCCGATGTCGCCAGCAGGGCGTCCCATGGAGGAAGAGGAGGACAAGGAGGAGGAGGAGGAGGAGGAGGAGGAGGAGGAGACAAGGAGGAGGAGGAGCCCACGCCTCGGAGGGGAGCGCGGTCTGTCTGCCGCCCGCGCCTAGCCCCCAGCGCCGGCGCGCGTGCCGACGGCCAGCTCAGTGACGTTGAAGCCGCCGTCTTCGACCAGGGCAGCAGCGACGGTCTCGCCGTCCAGATGATCTTCACCAGTAGGTAGATCACCAGCAGAATCAGGTACAGGGCGGACTGGAGCAGGCACAGGCAGCGAACCTTGTTGCCCTTGACCCGCAGGAAGAACACCACCTGGCAGGGACGCAGCCGCCGAACCAGCCGAAGGCTCCACTTCCTCAGTGTCGGCGGTGATCTGCGCAGCCATCAGTAGATTGAAAGCATCTTGATCTTCATCAGCCTCTCCAGTTTCATCCTCGACGTCGTGCATGCTGCTAGCGTCCATGTCAGGCACTTCCATGCTTTCAGCTTCGGCCTGTGCCATCATGAGCTCCTCCACGCCCACCACTCCGTCGTCGAGGGACGTGGCCTCGGTATCGAGTACATGATGAGCGGGAACGTCCTCAGCGTCGCCATCCAAACGAGAGCCAGGGTTGTGCAGCATCCAGATCACAAGCTCGCGCTGCTCTGCTGATAGATGGTAATTTCCATCCAGATATCGAGTAGCTACCACAATCTGAGCCTGCGAAAGAGCCCCTCCATGTACCGCAGCAGGAGAAGAGCCCCCATGCGCCACTGCGATCGCAGACCGTACTAGAGCACTGACATTTTGGAGCGCCCGCAGTTGTAGCATAGCTTGACGTTCCTCATCGCTGTCACAATGAAAGGGAACACGAGATCCTTCTTCAGGCATGTGTGGCGGCGAAGTTGAAGCAGCCGCAGGTGAAGACGAAATAGCAGAAGGCCGAAGCGCCCCCCCGAGGGAGCCGTCTGGATAGATAACGCCAAACCCATAGGTAGCCATCGTTTGATTGAAATCATCGTCTGAGCTATCATTGGCAGCCCAATTAGGAGGAGACGACGTCGAAGCCGCAAGAGGTGCCGACGAAGAAGCTGCCAGATTGAACTCCTCGTCAGAGCTGGCGTCGGCAGCCACTGGCGAAGACGGGCGCGACGGCGAAGTCCTAGTTGGGAGAGAAGCCGCCGAAGCCGCAGGCGGAGCAGACGAGGAGGCCGCAGCATCACCGCCTTGATCACGCCTGAAGGGCCCCCGAGACCTGCGCAATATCATATGTACTTGCGCTTCAAACTCTTCGTCGGTGAGGATGGGGCCGAAGTGATGAGAGAACACTCCAGGATCCATTGACTCATTCTCGTACTCGTGCGGCGGGGATCCACCAGGTACGGGCGCCGCCGTGGCATTGGCAGCCTCGACCATACTTTCTATGTCCTCGTCGGTTGGGTTGGGATAGCCGTCCGCATCAATACTTTCGTTGTCTTCGTCTGGCAGATGGGCAGAGGCAGCTGCTGACGCGGCATCCAGGAGGGCTTGCTCATGAAGGTGTGGAAGCAGGAGCAAATCAGGGGCGGCAGCCTTTGCAGGGCCAGGAAAGAACGCGCGGCGAACTAGGTGGAAATTCTCGCGCTCTTCTGGCGGCATCCTCGTGATATCAGGGCACCAATCCAACTGCCGCAGGTGCGCCAGCCCCTGGCGCCGTAGAGCTGCAAGGCGGCGCCGTTCATTGGGCGGCCACGGGTCGCTGAGTTGTTGCCGGAAACGCCCCCTCGGTATAGCGCCTTGATACCACCCGTGTAGGCAAAGATCAATGGCGAGCTCTCAGCGCTTCGCCCCGTCCGACATCGCGCCGGCAGGGCATTGCAGAATATCTTCGAAGCCGCCATATCGCAACGTGTCCGCAGTGTAAGGAACGCACCATTCCATCCACTGCTGAAAGTCGCTGCCGCTAGCACTGGCAAGCAAACTCGGGACCCATCTCTGAGACCACAAACCAATGCGATCCAGAAGAGCCGTCTATTGAGGATGTCCAGGGAAGCGCGGAGGAAGAAGGTCACCTCCTGCAGCACTGACAGGAAGCCAATCGCCGTCACATTTTGATCGAATGCCACCACCGCTTTCCCGAGGAGCCACACGCTGAGGGTGCCCAGGGCGGCACTGGGGAAGAGGGGCACCTCCCGCAGCACCCACGCGTGGCCGAGCGCCAACGTGACCCGAGCGAACGCCGCAGCTGCTTTCCACCTCCCAGATATCAACAGCCAACTCATCAACACGACGGCGCAAGTCTTCGGCAACCAGCGAGCCAAAGTCCCGCAGCTCAGAAAGAAGGGACCGAGTTTCAGGCCGAAGGAGTTGGATCTCTTCATCGATGTCGAGCGTACCCACAGCAAACGACGCAGAACTATGAGGCCACCGACGGAGCTCCAAGAGAAGTTGGGCCCACTCATTTGCCACCTTGAGCCACCTGCTCGATTGCGATTGCTGTAATTATGTGTAGTGCTCGGCGAGCCTGAGACGGCCAGCACGTGAATTGTGCCATTCCACATGAGCCACGCTTGAAGCCAGTGCAGTTCGTTCTTCCAAAGCAGCAGAAGGTTCGCTGAACAGTCCCACAAAGTGCTTGTAGCGAAAGACGATGCTCAGGAAATCCGTTGCCCACTTCATCCAGTCTTCGAAATCTGTCAGACCATTGGCAACGAAGAAGAATGAGCACAGCCAATTGCGCGCCCATGATTGCACTAAAGAGCCTGACTCAGCCAACCGCGCGCTCATGATGGGGCCGCTCCCACTCGGCTGTAAGATGGAGAATTTGGCTTCACCCCAGGCCGGCGGATAGCGAACACGCCCAGGTAGACAGTCGTGCACTGAGTGATGACCACGTGGCAAATCAACCCTGAGTACTGGAGGCCACTGGACAACAGGGGATGGCGGTTCAGGAATTCCCGTCGTGCTCAGTTGCAGCCTCGGACGAAAGTGGGCCCTAGTCCGTCCAGCCTTCGGGCACACCAAGGCACGAACACGAACAGCACCCCGCGCTGTATGGAGAAGACGCTCAGGGCTGACGTAATCCAGATGCCGTACTTCGTGGTAGATGATGGTGGCGAGCTGTAGGTTCATCAGATCGTCGTCAAATGCACCGCGGATGCCCCGCCGATCCAGAATGTTGCCAGGCGGTTCGATTCGGCCACCCGACTTAGCCATGGCAATGCCCCACGCGAGACCGCGGCAAGCAAGATAACGGCTGATCTCATCTGAGCAGCCTTCGCAACCAAAGATGCTTGCCCGAGGCCCAGACGGCGACGAAATCCTCGACGACGTGAGCCAGCCCCCGCACATGCCGCGCAGGATCGCTGAAGCCCAGGCTGCGGGGTAGGTGGCCATCTTGTCTTGCAAACATGTCCAATCGATCTGTGTGAGACCATCCACCAGGGAAGGAAACCATTTGGACCACCGTTTGGCGATCGTGACCACCAGCGGCGAGTCAGTGTTGTACTTGATTGTCAGAAACGGTCGCATCAAGTCCTGAAGTAACGCCACATAGGCGGCGCGTTGAACTGCATGACGAGCTTCAGGGAAATATGTGAGGAGTGCGCGCGCCGCAGCAGCACCCGAAGAAGCTGTGCGATGTGAGGCCGAAGCCAAGTGTTCCACATAGGCCGGCTGATCCCAGAAGTGAGGAGACATGAGATTTCGAAGATCAGTAAGCACTCTGAAAGGAGCCCAGCGTTCAGCTGCTACTTGAAGACGATGTAGGTAACGAACATGCTCAGGATGGGAGGTGAGCGCCGAACGAATAAGAGCCGAACCACACATTGGACCAAGAGCACGAAGCTTGGGGCCACCCCACTGGCCAAGACAATGAAAATCCACATACCGAAGGGCGCCACCAGGCAACCGCAGAAGCCGCACCAGGTTGTGAATATCTTGTTGCAGTAGCTGCTTGGGAAGGGGAGCGAACTGTGCCACATAGGACAGTGTGGGTCGCGCTCTGGCAATGTAGTTGATTGCATTCAAAGAAGCAGGCGCAGCCGACGAAGAAAGCGCCGAGATGCGTGTTCTGGATTTACCCCACGGGCTCAGCCAAGAGCATAATTCTGGAACA